TTCTCTTTTATAACTGTTTTCTCTCTGAAGCAGAACTGTTTGTGACAGTAATCTAAAGCAGATCATTTATTGAAATCAAAGCATTTAATGCAGATGATGAAAATAAAGAAGAATATGATAAATCATCATTTATATTTAACTGTTATTTCATAAATCAAAATTCAATTGCATATTGTTCTGTGACAAGTTTTTCATCAAGCAGTTGCTCATTCAACTCTCAAAATATGAGTTTTTGATGTTGAAATATAATCAAATCTGAATAATGTTGAAAATATTTTTTCATAATTTCTAAAATTATTAATGTATGTTTTGTATTCTGCACATCAAATTCAATCAGAGATCTGATTCTTGTGTTTCACCCATAGCTGTCATATACATTTAAGATACCTCCACCAATTATCAAGGTTGTTTTTATTGACAGTTTAATGAGTGACATGTCAGACAATTTGAACTGCTACATTTCATTTATAAATCTTGAAATTTCCATTATCTGTCTTCCATCCACTCTTTTTCATATCAATCAGACCTAATAACATCACCTCATCTATTGCAGAACTCCATGAAATATGTGTATAGAAAGCAGATTGAAACACAGATTGAAGCACAAATTGAAAGGTATATTAATTGGCATATTAAAATACAGATTGAGAGTCATATTGAGTGGTATATTGAGATACAGATTGGGAGGCGGATTGGGAGGCGGATTGAGAGGTGAATTGAGAGGCATATTGAGTTGCATATTGAGATGTGGATTGGGAGGCGGATTGGGAGGCGGATTGAGAGGTGGATTGAACAGTCAAATGATGAGAGGAATTTCCTATTATTATTGATAGCAGAGGCAATGTGGCAGGCACTATTATGACAGATGAGAGTGAGTTTAATCATTGACTTGTTGATGAAATTGACACTTCTTCAGATTTAAAAAGCTCATCATTATTTGAAGACTGACTGCCTGGTATTTTGCACAGCTCTATCATACAAAATAGGTGAGATTGAAATGGAATAAAAACCTCTGCAGATTGTCACTGTGTGTAATTGATTATTACAATAAAACCACTATGAAGTTAGGGTGGCAAGCAAGGTTTGAAAAATCAACGCCGGCATTACACTAATATCCACTTTTTGCGTGCAGGTTATAAGAGCTTACACGGGCAACCGAACACGCCCTCAGGGTGTACGAGGTTGAAATTGCACTTTTTCAATTGGCATTCTTCAAACTCACTATATCACATGACTTAGTGCGCGAGGTCGTGGTGAAATACGTTAACTAACCTTGTATGTTTGGTTATAAATCTAAACAGACCCCGCGCGGCTTCCGGCAGTGGACTGTCAACTATCCCATCTACCTGGCTTCTCTCGCTGGAAAAGCCCCTGGTTGCGAAGACTACTTGATTGGAACACCGCAAGTTCCGCTCCTATTGCTTGCCCATCTTCAACCACCGCAGCCCACACAAAGTGTCAGCTTGGTCAATTGAGTTGCCTCGCGGCTCAGCCAGGGTTACAAAATGGTCTATCACAAGAGACAACCAGAAGCTGCCTTCTTCTATCACTTTTGGCAATGTTGTCGCCTGACACTAGCGAGGAGGATTGCAGAGCATCTGTGCCGCAAAACCAACAGATCAATCGGACAGAGGAGCAGACTCATTGGCTGATTGCTCATGCTCATGCTCGAGGGCTTGGAAACCGGGCCAATTATCTTGCTTTAGTGGGCATTCGCTCACTTGCCGCTGCCGCGTACGTTGCTTGTGGAGGTGTTGAGCAAGCGCTTGATTCTCTATTCGATACATCTCCACCTCTAGAGCCAAAGCTTCACCAGCACGGATAATTGGCTGTAGTAGAGCTTGATTCCCCTGGTAGAAGTAGTAGACTGCTGTTCGTAGCGATCCTAGGGAGGTTGGAGTCCTTGTTCGAATTGCGGTTGGTTTGAACGATTCGGGAGGTGTAATAGGCCTTCGCAAGCCTTGAAGCACTCTTTGGGGATTAAGAGGATAGATTCCAGTCGCTTCAAAGCCAGCGGCTAGAACTTTGATCTCTCAGCAAATCTAGGTGGCTACCTCCCCCCGGACTTTGCAATATACGTGAGCTAGCGACGAGCTCCATTCCGTCACTCAAGGAGGAATCCAGCCTAACCCACGCAGCCCCTGTCCCTGCTCTCAGGTGGCGTCGGCATTGCTTCGGTAGAACCTCCTGGCGAAGCGGACTTTTTCAATCGAACTTCAGCCTGGGGCTTTTCTCTCCGATATACTCGCTCTTCTCGCTTTTAACAGCCGGTACTGCAAGATAACACCCATCACCATCCTGAAGCTTGAATTGTGCCATGTACTGCCGGACACTTCTTCAGAATCCGCCTCCCAAAGAAACTTGGTATATTTTCCGGAAGAAGTGAGGCTTCCATCCTGGGAAACAGCGGCTTCAGTTTTGTTGCCTGTTCACCAATTTATTGCCGCGTTCATTGACCGGATGAATTTTGACTTGGTTCTCTGCCGTAATTCTAGCTGCGTAGCTGCATCACTCGATTTTAGAGTGCACACAGACGACACCCAGCGACAAGATCCTAAAAGCTTTAAACAACTACACCGAAGGGACAATGCCCTTAAGACGATGGTTGCTGTAGTAGTCCATCAGATCCTATGATAAGAATAGCACCCCATGGGCTGGTCTCGGTGGCATTTGAATGTCACTCTCAGCGTAAATGAGGTCGACTTTCTGACCAGGATCGGGATCGGGGTCAAGATCAGATTCAGCCTCGATTGAGGAGAGAATAAATTGATCTTTGTGTCAGTTTAAGTCGATCCGCCACCTGATCATAATACATGAGTGAATCTTGTATTTTTTGTCAGCAGTCTGGTTTTATGTTAGAGATTGTTCAGAACCAGGACTCATAAAACAGATATTTTTGGGGTGTCTGGAGATAATAAATAGATTCAATGCTGTTGATGCATAAGGCATAACTAACTTACAAGTATCATAGATGCAAGCTAAAAGGGGTGGCATTTCGGAATTGTGCAAGACAGTTGCAAGTGTAGCAAAACATCGCTCAATCTCAACAAAGCGATTGCTCAACCGAGTGTGCAACTCATAACGCGCCTGTCGATCACTGAGAAACAGTCAGCCCAATGTGAGTGGTTGTATTGGTTGCTATCTAGTGGTAGTCCGTAACGGGAACGCCCAGGTCCAACAGATGAAAGGTTCAGCGCCTGAGTGGTCATGTGACCGTCTCATCTTGCATACGGTTGGGCCTAAAAGTGAGTTTAATGACTGGTGGTCTTCCCTGCCAGCTTCAATTGGTGTATGGCCCAAGAAGTACGCTGTTGACCAGCTGATAAGTCGTTGGTGGGGATAGAAATCTAGCTGCTACCGTGTTTTGGGCTTTTTCCTTCGGCCCGGATATTGAAGTGATGTTGAGGGAAGAGAAGCTTAGGGGGTGGAAAATCCAGCGTGTATCTCAGTTTTATGCCATAGAACATGTGTCCCTTTTCAGATACCAGTTTAGCGCTTGTTCAGAATGAAAAATGAAAGGATGTGGCTGGGTATATTGGGAATATTAAACACAGTGTAATTGTTCACGAAAGGTGCTTGGTACCATTCTGAATGTTGGATGCCAGGAATAGGCTTGCTTACAACACAGTCAAATGCAAATGCATAACCCAGACTATTCATAGAGATTACAGCAATAGCAGGCCAACAAGCAGAGGTTCAAAGCATCTAGAAATCAAAACAAATTGAAGTTTAGGAGATTGTCAACCATGGAAAAAACTATCAAAATCAAAATCAAAATCAAAGTCAAACCCTCTCGCCCCCAATTAAAAATCAAATCTTAGAGACAGGACCCAATAGCCCTAGTGCGTGTAGAACATAGTTTGCCTGCCTTTACTGCCAGTTCTGCCTCTTGGATTGGAGATTTCCTTTCGCCGTTGGTGAAACCTGCATATAACCCTCGATCTCAAGATCGTCCAAATTTTCCATGATCCACGATTGGCAATTCCCATGTCGTGCTTTGATTATCGACCGGGTGGCTTTGGATCTTGCTTACTGCCTCGTCCGTTTTTTCGGTTGGGATGGTGCCGCAAACAATGGTCTCCTTGAGCCTAATCGACCGCTTGTGGTTCTTTATAGATCGGCAGCTCGACAAAATACCCCTCCCCCCCTTTGTCATCGCCGACCTGGAGGATAGTTGAGAGCCCGTTCGCGGCTTCCAACCAGAATGCCCAAGTGACATGGGTCACGGGTGTCCAAAGGTTTGTAGATTGCGACGGCAACGGTTGTCATTGTAACAGTCTGCCGTATATGACAAGTTAGCATCTTGATCACTGAGTTGTTCGAATCGACAGCACCATCGAATTTCCATCTTGACGGTACGATATAAGGAAGAAATATAGGGCACTTCCCGTTAAAGGGGGAATAAAACAGGTGGAGAGGGCCGCCGTCGACTTACATCAGGAGAGACGCCAAGGATATAGCCAGACAAATCAAACAAGATTTTCTCACCAGCACTGCCAGTAGATTGAGATAATAGAAGAAGGAAGAGTTCGAGTCCGTTGTAGCTTTTCTGATAGAGATTGAAGTTGCTGGAAGATATGGCCTACATCTTGGGCTGCTTCCATCCTAATATAGACCTGAGTGTATCCACTGCGACGAGTCCCAAATTCTCAATGCCAGGTGCAAGAATTGGGAAGCGCTGAAGATGGAGAAAGGATCAGGACAGTCAAGCTGATTGCCAAATTGGATGCAAAGTCCGATTCCGAAAGTAGCATGTTTGAAACGCCTGGGGCGGCACTGCTTTGGATGGAGCTTCAACGAAGTAGAGCAGTTCAAGGGCATCCGATTGGACTTCCATTAGAGAGGGGAGCAGGCTTCAGCAAGTTCGGGCCCCGTTGGCGCCGTAAGCTGTGATTCCAACTGACGATGAGCATTGCCATTGGTATCGGAGCCTGTAGTGACCTATTAATACATTCTGTCCGCTAAGCGCCGCATTGTGCATTGATATTCTTGACCAGGGGATGTCGGTTGGCTTTGCATTCATGCGATTGGAAACGTCAGGGGTTTGGAAGTTAGTTCCCCTGGAGCAGAAACAGGTGAAGCAAAGCAATCATCCGTTTGGCAGGCTCTCTCAGGAGCGAAGGCCATATTTTCGATTGAGCAGGCTGCCCTTAAATCTTAACGACAAGACACAATTTTTTTCGAGACCAGGCCTGCACTTCTCGTTCATCTGTTAACAACCTCTGCTGCGAGACCTACCTATGAGGGCACCCGCATTCGATTGACGTACCTCGCCCACCAACTATTAATCCAGCTTTCCGCCTCAAACTCGACCTCCTCCCAGCGACTCATCGTTGAAAAAGTGTGGAGGAATGGCGTTTCCCCCTCTTCATATCGTCGAACCGGAAAGGGCCCATTCAGATACCATCATCCTGTTGCATGGACGTGCTAGCAATGGCGCCGAGTTTGCCGAAGACCTGTTTGACTCGAAGACCTCTGAGGGCAAGAACCTCAAAGCCCAATTTCCCGGCTGTCGCTGGGTATTCCCAACATCCCGAGATCGGTGGAGTTCTGTGTTTAAAGAGGACTTGACCGCTTGGTTTGATGCATATTCTCTGACAAATCCTTGTGAGCAGCAAGATCTTCAGTTGGATGGCTTAAAAGAATCTGTATCATTCATCTTGGATGTTCTCAGAAGAGAAATTGATCTTCTTGGAGGAAAATCTGAAAAAGTTGTTCTTGGTGGCATTAGCCAAGGCATGGCGACAGGTCTATGGGCCTTACTGTGCTTACCGGGACGAGCCAAGGGGAAGATTGGGGGCTTCTTTGGAATGTGTGGGTGGCTTCCATTCGCGAACAAGATACAAGATTTGCAACCCCCAAAGGTCGATACAGCAGGAAAGCCGGAAATCATGATAACCAAGCCTCTCCCAGATATACTTGGATACAAAGAACCTCCGGCTAGCCCTGCGGAGATCGAAACTATGCTTACTACGCCTGTCCTACTCTTGCATGGAACCGATGATGCGTGGATAGATGTTGAATTGGGACGGCGGGCACATAGAAGTCTCAAGGAGTTGGGAATGCAGGCTGATTGGGAGGAGTATTCTGGGGCAGACAATGAGGGGCATTGGGTGAGGGAACCAGAAGGTGTTGATACGATTGTCAAATTTCTGGGGGGCTGCTTGGGGGGTATTGAAGTAAACTGATATCTCGAATGTAGTCCACAGAAATGACAAGTGCTACGTCAACTCATTCTAGATGTCCTGCTTGAGCCACCTATCTTACATATAGAGAACATGGAGGACTACTACATAAACACCTAAAAGCATTGAGGTTCTGTAGTTTTTGTCTCCCTCCCCTCCATCAGCCCAGCTATGAACAGGATGCTTGTATGTTGGTATGCCACACTGAACCAACTCAGTTTATTTCTTCTCTCTTCAGTTTCCCACACTCGTCAGAGTGGGAGAAAAGTACTTAGCACGCATTCCACTAACTGTACCTGGAGTAGTCAGCACCGGGTATGAGGCCTCAAAAGTTCCACGTCAACATCGCGAACTCAACCAGTTTGGAATGACGCGGTCCCGGCAAAGTAGCCGGCGAAGCGCTGGCTCCTCGCTATATACAATGGCTGGTCTCCAGGCCCTTCTTCCTGGGCCCAGCGATCTGTTTTTTTCTTGCTATCAATGGAGAGTCTAGTCTTCGAATTCCATCTTCATCGTACAGAGTATACACCCCTTGAGCCCTTACTACTATACCGAACCTACCCTATTCCTACTAGTCTACAGCCGTGTAGTTACTAAGCCCCTTTTTACACCTTATTGATATGTATCTATTGAATATAACGAATGTATGCTGGACCATAGAGATAATATTGAATATGCTATATCTATCATGTAGTGCAGGAGCAGCATGATAGAAATCATGGAGAGAAGAGACTAAGATGCCAAGAGACTAGCTAAGTTAGAGGCTGAATAATCTGACAGAACTAAACTCAACTTACGGAGTACTGCTTCCAAATATCCCACATTTCTCTATACCCCCCCTCTGTTCAGCCCACTAACTTCTTGAGCACAGGTTGTACATTGTGTGAAAAACTATCAGGGTGAAAACCTGCTTTATTGACCCTTCACTCCCTTTCCTCAAGACTGACTTTCTTTGGCATGATGCTGATTCTGCATAAATCAGAAGGTAAAAATATGAGGGGCATAAAGACTTTTCTTCACTAGTGATAGACACAGAATACAATTGTATTAAGCAGTTGCTGTGACACATCTAATAACATTGAAAGGAAAAGAGGAAGAATGAGTTGAAGGGGGAGGAAACACTTTCTAGATTTGAGCATCAGGCCACATATATGCTGCCAAGGCAGAAACAGCTAGACCATTGTGTAAACTTGACTGAGTTGATGATGTTTTTAAAGCAGACGGGTGACTGGTGGGGAGGTAGGGTGATTGAGGCTGGTAAGGCAGATGATGAGGATGTTACAAGAGGTGAAGAAGAGGTGAGGATGAGGTGAGAAAGGAGTGAGAATAGAGCAGTGAGCCTTCTGCACTAATCTAGATGTAGAGCTGCCAGATTCTGATATAACTACCCAGCTTGAATGAGGAGTACAATGACAGACTTATTTTCCCCCTTCTTCTTCTATGCACTGAATTACTCATCTTTTCTTTTCTGCATTAGATATGTTTGATTGTTTGTTTGGATAAACAGGGTTGGCAGAGGCCAAATTAACAAACTAAACAGTGGAATAGAAGTGCTGTGAAGAACACATTCTCATAGAGCAGACACTTCTATCACATATATACATGGAACTGGTATAAAATAGGATATGAAAAATTAACAAAAATAATACACAGGGATATTTATGATATAAAACGAATGGAATTGAAATTAAACCTGAAAATTCTGATGGTGAAGATGATGTATAAAAAGAAGATTTAAGATCTAAATTATGATGTCTAGAGCTGAAATTCATTTCAGTCATGAATGAAGCAACCAAAAGCAAAAGAATAAAAAGAGTGTGTAATCAAAAATCAAAAACCAGAGCTGGATGCACCAGCGGGGGAATAATGTATGGTATATGTATGTATACAAGGAAGGAAATGCATGTTGAAAACGAGAAAAAAAAAATTCAAAAGGGATGTAGTAAGCCGGAAATTAATATTGACAAAGAAGACTGATTAAAAGAAAAGGAGCAAAAAATACTCCCTGGAGTGACACAAACTGTAATGTGGAAATGATATAAAATTTTCCACGCCGTCCACTTCGGCATCCACATGTACGTGACCAGCGGTGTGCGCAAGTACCGTACAATTATATACCTGGGAATCTGCCATCAAGGAAAAGAGTAAAAAATTCAAAACAAACCAAATTTCGTTATCGCGGCAATCCACCATGCTGTTTCTCGTCCGGTTCAAAGACATGGGCTTCTAACCTGTGTGTAAGCCTTGCGCAGAATGCATCGACGTACGTCGTCCAGAGATGCGCAACGAAGTACACAATGCAGATCCATATGGGGATCGCAATGGCAAATACAGCAGGACCGCGGCGCGGCAACCAGGGCGGCGGAACGACTTCACCGTCCTTATTCTTCGTAGGTTCCCACGGCTGGCCGGAGATGCCATAGATCATCCAGGTCAGGACAACGCGGAGGAGGGTGCCGTGGCAGAGGTATACAGCGAAGCTATTACGGCCGAGAAAGAGGAAGAGGCGTTTTGAGAGGATGGATTTGGTGGTTGGGGACAGGAATATGGCAAAGACGATCAGATCGAGGCCTACAGCGGAGAAGCGTTTGCCGATGTTGACACCGCTGGGGAAAATGGTTTGGCCAATTTGAAGAAGAAATCGAGACCAGTCTGCGTATTCTGGTTGTTCACCGGGGAAAGAGGCAAGGAAGAGGCCTAGGATAGCGATTGTGACGCTGAAGATGCGACGGGAAGAGGTAAGGGTGGAGACGTAGATCTGGAAAGATCGGTCGTTTGCGAGATCGGAGAGGAACATGCCGACGAAGAATTGTTGGCCGAAGGTTTCTGTATAGTAAGCTTTGTGTTAAACTCCTGCATCAATGATGATTTTATTTTATTTTTGTTTTGATTTATTCATAGGTGGTTATTTCAAACACTAACCTGTATCGGGCCCTGGATGCTGCCAGAAGTATATAAACATAATGGAGTATACCATCATCCGGTACCGGTACTGCATATACATCGTGCCACAGAGCACGACATAAATAATCATGGAGCCCTTAAGCAGTGGCAGCAGTGCCCACTGGTGGTCATCGTAGTCCATGTGTCCATTTGTCCAAGTGCTTCTGAAGACGCGGAACAGACGCATGATTTCCTTCAAAAGCGAGTCCTCCACCACAGGGCTCGCAAACCGAATCCAATCGGAATCCGCCCTATTACCAACTGTGAAACCGCCCAGCTGCGCTACGGCCCAGGCAAGAACCATGGCAATTGTTGCAGGAAGTATAAGACGAGGTGGGCGGCGGAATGCGCTCTTGGAAATGGAGGAGAACGCTGCGGTATAGTTTCCCGCACGGGACAGTTGCAACGGCTTAAGGGCGCAGACGTACCCAGTCAGGAAGGCAAAGATAGTGACGCCAATTCTGCCCTGCCAGGGGATGCGCAGAATGGGGAGCTGGAGCAATCGGGGGGGTGTATCCTTGCCATTCGGGGAGAATAGGTCGTAGTCCCAGGCTCGGGCTAGGTGGGTGAGAATGACGAGGACGGAAGCGATCCCGCGCAAACCCTATAGATAAATAGATAGACACTTGTTTAGTTAATGCCGATATCTAGGAAAAGAGGTAAAGGAGAATCGCAAAGGAAATACAATTTGTGATTCTCGAATGGGGTCTTGTTGGGTTTGCGCCTCACGTAACCGCCGAGGTCCAAGATAAACTGGGCGTTGAACGAAATGATAACACAGTCAGTGATAACTCACATCTAACCATTTCACACTCCGCCCATTATTGTCGCTTCCGCCCTCGAAGAGGGAGCAAACGGATCTCCAGGGAGCCGCCAGGAGTCGGAAGGAAGCGAACATTTACTTGAAACGCTGCAGAAAAGCGCCAAAAAAAAAAGGGGGGGGGGGGACTCAAAACGCAGCAAAAGTCGAGCGGGATGCAATCATCCAGATGACGAATGAAAACGCCTGCAAACCCAGCAGATGTCAATCAGGTTTGATGAGCCACTCCGGTTGTGAGACGGGAAGAGTAGGAAATATATAAGAGAGTAAAGGGATCGGAATATGGATTGACAGATTGACTGTTGCCAACCGTGCCATGCAACGAATGAGTTACGAAATAACGTGTGCTATTTTAACGAGAGGCACAGAATGAAAAATGATTCTGACCACGGCCAAGCCAGCCAGAGAGCGAGAGACAGACAGAGACGGCGACCATGGGAAGAGAAAGGAAGGGAATGAAGGAAAAATTCGATGAATGATGGAACTTGCCCAAGACCCCGTGGAGTGGAAACAACTCCGCCCGCCGACCCACTACCCAAATCGCATCCATGCTGCCAGTCGCACCAGAGAGCACGTCAAGGGGTTGGGGATAGCTTATGCTTCGCCGCCCAGAACACGATATTAAAATCGGCAGACCATTGTCAGCCGAATCCATGGGTGGGTGGATATGCTGCCATCCGTGTCAATGTAGGCGGACGGAGATTTGGGCATATGTCAAAAAGTCTAGAACTTTTTACACGCTCACTCTACTGTCAGTGTAAGTCAACTTTTGTCTGTTCGTAGATGAATCTCCTCCCGCCAGCCGCTGTTGTGTTGTCCCCCAGTCCCCCAAATCATACGCCGCCTGTCTGTACGGAGTTATTACTGGGCATCGATGCTTCAAGGAAATCAAAAGTTCAAAAAAAAGAACGAGATCCACAAGAAATACCAAGAGCTCGGTCCCACACTGGGAGCCAAACATCCAGCTATTTTAGCCCTGCCAAGGTTGACAAAGTTAGCTAGCCAGGGGATCCACATGAACTCAAGGTCCAGGATACGATTCAGGGACTTGGCAACAAGAATGACACAGCAAAAAGAAGAAGATATGTGGTCAAAATCGCCAGAAAATCCTTTTCCTAGCTCTCCTTCCAAACAATAGACACAATGGTGCTGGATATGTGATCCCATCAGATCCATCTTACCACATAGGAACAGGAACACCCTCATGCTTCACACGAGCCCGCAGGGCGTTTCGATATGAGCATGACGAATATCAAGCTTCTTTCACAAAGTCTTCTACAAAGAGCCATACGCAGGAGACAGCAAGTTTACCAAACAACGCCAAACAATAATATAATGTACTTCGTTCCGTATGGGTTATGCGGGGTCAAGTGTCCTCCTGCTCGCCTATTAAGTACAGTACTTCTGTAGGCTGGAAAACCAAGCACACTGTTCATTCAAAAGGAATGCCGATGATAAATTAGAATGCTTTTGTTTCAAGCATAATAAAAGCAGGCAAACAAATCTCGACATTATTGACACTTCCTAGCCCCAAGACCTCCATCCCGTGCCCGACAAGCATTGTGGCCTTTATATAAAGCTGACGTCCAACGAGGAATCTGCATAACTAGAGTGTCGATATCCCAATCATGCTCCATTTTACGCTCTACTTGCCAGTGCTTGGCCACATCCAGAGCAATTTCCCCACATTAAATCCACACTCTTCGTCCAACAATCGGCCGCCAGGCCTTCAAGAATCAAGGGTGCTTGGACAACCCCGGCATAACTAATCTGTAGTTAACTAACTATCCCCGCTGATTACATAATTACATATCCGGGTCTTGGCCAAAAGCAAACATTCTTAGCGTCCTTGGCAACAAACCGACCTCCGCCGCCAAGAGACCGCTAAAAACGCCACCGTCAACGCTCCCTGTCATGCACAGACCTGGCGAAGCCGGCGTCGATTTGGCGGCATTGGAAACGATTCAGGGGTGGATCCACACACCGTGAACTTACACTAGAAATGTGGGGCTTGCATGTGGCACAGGATGCCAGAAGGTTCAACGAGACGGCCATAAATATCGGGGCAGGGAGGGGTAGTCTGCTATTTGACATATACTGGTATGTGTCGCCAGATAGACAGGTGTGGCCATCAAGATCTTGGATCTTTTGTTTACCCGGAACGACTGCTTAGGATTGGGCTGCGGATCAGCGATTGTCAGATTTGAGACAACAGGGGTCAGAGAGCTTACGCATTCAGGGGGGCGACGTGACATAATAGTTCAATAACCACTAGTTATATAACTATGTCGGCTCTTGTGAAGCTTCCAGATAGAAAGAAATCGCTGTCTTTCTTGACAAATGGCAACGGGGATCAGCACCTGATTTTTCTCCGAGTTGCCTGCATAGAAAACGGCCAATCCAAAATACGAATTCAAAAGCCGTGCATAGTATGTCTTGACGGTAGAATAAATACCATCCATTCCTTCATGTCAACGAGTTCGTCGGATAATATGGTCAATATCAGCTTTTCCAACACTCCCACCTTGGGGAGGGGAATGTCGGATTGGGCGATTCGCCCCCGCCCCCTCTAAACCACCATAGTAGTGATAGAGCTCTTTTACCCCAGTAGCCTAATAGAAGACAGGTAGATATGTAATGAATCCCATTTCTTCAACCAGAACCGAATGCACTTATATTTCCAGAAACTTTATCTCAAGGCCTCCTATATATAGCCAAGCTATCATTGCAGTCGACATGGAAAGGAAAAATTGACTAGCTCTATAGCCATCAGAGTTCCATCCGTGACTACTTACATTGATGTTCACATGGCAGTGCTGCTGCGATCCCACATGAAAGATACAACACAAATCTCCCGCCCACCAACACTTCCTTCAGTCTCTATTTTCCATTATTATACAACAACGCTCTCAATAACCGGACACAAACCCGCCTTCCCACAACTCCCCTTCTCTTCCAGTCTCCCAGCCGCCTCCCAGATGGAGTCTTTTTAAAAGCCTATTTAAAAAAAAAAAAAAAAAGCCCTGAAGTTACGTTCAAGCAAGTATCAATCCTTGCCTGAAATTGCACGAGCCACGCGCTTGGGTAGAGAGGCCAAGGGCAGGCTCACAAATTATCAGATCATAGCTCGTAACTCGCCATTCAAAGGCAACGAAAATTCGTTGGATCCTCCACACCTCTCAGAGGGCACCAAGACTGGACTGGAGGCGCGAGCAGAATATCCTTGGTGTTGACGGGTTGTGCAGGCGTGCATCAAGCATGGGGTTAGCATGTTTGAGGAGAAGGGGGATGAGAGGTTACATTCTGTACTGTACAGATGTACATACATGTATATAAAAAGGTCATAGCTAAACAAACGTCTCCATTGTTAGGCCACTGGGGCAAAAGAGCTCTCTTACACCAGCGCCATGCTGGTAGTAGAGGGGACGAACCAATCCAAACCCCCCAACATCCATCTCCATCTCCATTACTAACGATTAATAATAACTACTTGGCATCCTCTCTTCATGACGGGGAACTACATCGTAGAAAACTCCAATAGGGTTATTTAGTTAACACGTGAAAGAATGAGAAAAACGCCAAGACCATAAAAAAAGAACAAAACCCTCCTATTCGCTGAGCGTCCCTTTTCTTCAAAGAGCCGCATATTACTTATTATAACTATCGGTTTTCAACAAAATGCATATATCCGGTACGTCGCGTACATGCACATGCACATGTACCTAGAGTACAATGGGAAAATAAATATACATGTGGTGATTATGCCTCCACGTTCCCGCTCTGGCACCAGAGCGGACACAATTATTTATAAAAACAAGACTGGTGGGGGTAAATTGAGAGCCGGGCAAAGGCGAAAGAAATGAAATGAAACGAAGCGAAAAAAAAAAAAAAAGAAAAGAAAAAAAGAAAGAGGTGAAAAAGAAAAGCTGACAAATGAAACATATAACTATTTTGTCAATTATTATCGGAAGATGAAATTCTGAGCGATCGTTAAGCAGCGGTGGTAGGGCACTGGAACTCCTCTGCTTAACTTCCAATTTCAACTTAATTTTTATTCAGTTTTTTCCTTTTTGAAAAAAAAAAAAAAATTCTTAATTGGATTGGATTGGATGGTCTTTGCACGGTCTTATCTTTTTCTGGGGAAAAAAAAAAAAAAGACAAGGTAAAGAGAAATATCTTCGCGCTGCCATCTTTACGTTGACCGAGCCCATTGTTTTGGATATTTTTTGTGCCTAACCACCCCTGCCCCGAAGCCCATTTCCTTTCCCCTTTCCGTTATAGAAAGGAGAGAAAGAGAAAATAAACACAAGGCCGGGGAGGGGATTTTACAGGACAAGTTTTCAAGCTTGCTTATTGCAAATGGGGGTATATAAAAATATTCAAAACATTAGAAATTAAAAAGGGGGTTTGGGGGTAGGTAATGTGGGTGGTAGGTTGGGGGAGGGAATAGAGGTAAGGGTGGTAGGATGAAATAATGCACAGACACATACTGACGTGTTTACACAGTTGCATGCGAAAATAGAGCGAAGAAAAAAAGACAACCGAACGAGTACAGGAGAGGGGGGGAACGGTAGGTGATGAGAGGGAGAGACCTCGGAGGAAAAATGATGAGGATGATGATAATGACGATGATGATGGATGGATGGATAGATGAATTTCGCGGAACGCTTCACTAACAAAGGAAATAAAATGATATAAAAAACAGGGGGGAAAATGACACACAGATAAAAAAAAGAAATTTTTGGCATCTTCGATTTAGCAACGACTCGCGCTTGCAAATGCTAGATTTGGAGAAAGTTTTCATCCATCCGGTTAGGGGGAAAGGCAGATGTGAATTAGAAAATAAGAAGAAAATAAATTTCGAATACACGACATACGGGACAAGTGAGGCTTTTTAGCCGATTTTTTTCAAGCCTGATTTGAATACCGGGTGATATTTGTTACATGCCCAAATGGGGAGCATCCCCAATAGCATGTAGGTACTCCCAAAATAGTTGGGGGGCGGGGGGCCGCGTATCAATATAATGGTTATTATCGAACGTGATATTATGGATGACGAGGTTGTTTGACGTATAATTTATTTGTTGAGGCTTGATAAGCTTCCGTGCCTGGATCACCTCGCACCGGAAAGCGAAAGGAACAGGGAAGGCGTTGCTTTGCGTTGTTAGCTAAATACGAGCCTTCAAAACACTCCATTGTACCCTGCTGATGGCTGCTGAACAAAGTGCTCATGTTGGCTGTAGGCATTCTCATCTGGACGGCGATGATAAGCTTGTGGGAATTGGGCACTGGAGGGCGGCGTTGGGGTAACACCCGGGACTGATTTTGGAATGTTGGAATTTCCGGCGCCAGCGAAGGCCTCGTTTTCCGGAGTGATAGGCGGCGTCAAGTATCCATTGGGCATTGTCGACGGATACTGGGGCTTTTGAGGTGTAGCAAGCCCAATCTCTCCATTGTACGGTTTAAGCTGTTCAGAAGGAGTATCCGCCGCGGGGGTTGGTGGAGTGTAGGCCTTAGGTATCGAGGCTTGGTGTGCAAGGAATTGCTCCAGAAGTCTCGATACACGTGAATAACGTGCAGACAAATATTTCCTATACAGAACCTGCGATGGCTGGACTAAGTGCTGAGACAAGTTCACTAGTGTTAGAGAATCATAATGAGAAGCCCAGTCCACATTTCTGGATTGAGAACGGTTCAGAACGCATCGAGCGAGAGCCAGCGAAGCCCGAGCGAGATCCGACGACAGTTTCGAAACAAAATCCCTATGGAATAGGGATATTTCCAAAATGTAAAGAGAAAGATGTTCCACCTCTGGGTCATAGGGAGTGTCCGCGACTGCAAGCTGCAGGAAGCTGTCAACAGTGGGATGGCCTATTGCCCAACCTAGAGTTTGGAGAACATGCCATTCCATTTGAACAAACATGTCGTCGTCATATTGAGAACAGCACATAGTTTTGAGCTCCTTGACTGTTGGGACACGATCCTTCTTATCGCCATACTTTGCCGCAATGAGCAAGGCTGCACAGCCAACTAACTGATAATGTTTTTTGTAAACAACACGTTTAGAACAATACCGATCTAACAAGTTCACAGTAAGAAATAGGGTCGACGGCAGGAGTTGAAAGGCAGTATGTGCTTCTATGAGGAAGTCGAGGAGATAGGGACGCATGAACCATTGGATCTCGGTCTGGATATCGATCGAATCAACATCCGGCAAAGTCGAGGACTATTCTCAGTTAGCCAGAGCATGGGATAAAGGGGTGAGAGGATAAACAAGTATCATGAGACGAACATCCATCGCGAGCATGTGTGCTAAAATATCATCTTGGTATTCATCGCTAACTTGCTTTGACAACTCATCAGCAATCGCAAATTGACGTTCACGAGCGATCAATTTTGCATGCTCCTTTGGACCTAGCCTGGGGCCGGGATACTCTGGTTCAAACGATTCCACAAAATAAGAGTCACACGGCTGGAAGGAAGACGCGGGGCGGTTTTGGTAAGCCATATTGATAACGTTTAGGGTGAAACCGAAAAGGGTTGGAGGCCACTTCGAAAAGTTTCCACGTTTTATTTGTCGCAAAAGAGAGGACCTGGAATATAACCCGTATATCTCAAAAGTTGAAAAAAGAAACGACGGAAGTTAAAAGAGAGTAACTGTCGTGTATCAAGATGGATGATAAGAGATTGAAAAGTAGTTGGTGTGAAATATTAAAGAGAGTTATGTGTCGATAATAATCGGCACGTTTTAAGGTGAAGAGGTCAGTCGACCAAATATAAAATAAAACTGAGAGTAAAAGCTAGAAAGATGTACTTGTGTCAGCAGCAATCCATCTCGGGCGTAAGCCTTGTGTAGGAAATTTTACAGGACAATCTTAAGTGGAGGGGAAATGAATGAAGGGGGAGTTATACCCAGTTTGACGTTGAGAAAGAAGGGCAAATGATCACCCTTTCTTCAGCGGCAGTCGCGTCATCTATTCTGGAACTCGAGTAAAAGCTGAATTCGAAAATCGATGGCAAAGGCTGGGTGAACGACGAGTCAACGTCTCCACCTGTCAAGCCTACAAGTTAAGCAGCTAGAAGGCCGATGTGGAAAAACGAAGTTTCCACAAAGTGCAATTGTGCACAAGTCTAGGGACAAAAGTCAATTGTGTTCAATATGCTCTAGAAGGGTCCTGGCCCTTTCTGGAGTGAGGTAGAAATGAAAGGGGCCATTTGGGAGCAACGGGGACCGGAGCGTACCTTCGCAGGTTTGTCTCACTTGGGTGTGGATGTGTCCGCGGTATGAAAGCAATCCTTGCGGAATGCAAGCAGAGCGTCAACGGCTTAGATGTTGAGATCTAATTTTTATTTATAAAATGTTAGCTGTTAGTATAGTATTCGACCAGGCTCCAAATCAGACAACGTTGAAAGGTAAAACTAGACTTAGAGTTGGTTGGTGGGAACAGAAGTGACGAATTGAGATGTGTCCGTAAGTCCCCGGTTGGGTATGAGTATCATCGAGACAGCCCAGCCCTCATGCCCCTATATGCATGCATTGATCAAGGCATATGAAAGTCTGGGCTATTTAACATCGGACGCAACTTTTTCCCGTGTGGATGAGCCACAGCCACCAGACTTTTTTTTCTGTCGCCCATTCACTTTCCCTAACCGATATGCAACGGTAAATGATGTCTTTCCCGAGTCGACTAGCTTTCGAAACGGGAGCAAACCGACCGATACATCTGCCCTCGAGCTAGGAGCATGCTGTAGGCTAGACATGTATTCGGTTTTTTATTTTTTTGCGTCCAATATGATGATTGCTTGCCAATGGACAATTGGAGTGGACTGTAGACGTACGTGGACAGGGAGGAAAGGACGGACGTACGAGGGATCGGGGATTGGCCTCGTTGGTAGTAGACTCGAGGGGAAAGGGGTTGGAGTGTGGTAGACAGGGAGCAAAGATATAAAAAAATTTCACAATTGATTCAGCTTACCTTTCGCAGAAGAAAAAGAGTCCTCGAGCAGACGGTCCAAGGAAATTTTTTTTGCTCTTTTTTTGCTCCTATTGTTATTTTTGGTTTTTTTTATCCTTTTTATAAAAATTGGTCTCACTCTCTTCTTCCTTTCTAACTAAGTGAGGTAGCTGGCAATCAATGGCAATCAAAGAACCGTCAACGTCACCATTGGAGAGAGACACCGTCGAAAAAATGAGGAAGGATGGTGGAGGATGGAGGGGAGCGAGGGCGAATAAAAGGAGACGGTGCGGGAGGAAGAAGAGGGAGCGGAGTCGAGAATCGAAGGCCAGGAAGACGGACCCACGAAAGAAAAAAAGGCTCGACACGAGAGGACGGTTTTAGGAGAAACGGAAGAAAGGTGGGAGACGACGAAGTTGACTGGATGACAGCCAACGATCCTAGCCAGCCACACCAGACAGACCAGATTCCCCAGATTTCTCTCCTGGGAGCAAAAGGTTATCCGAGGGAGAGTCGTGGAGGAGATGGAGGAGATGAGGAA